TATATCACCAATAATAAACAAACAGGAACCCAAATAAAAAACACAACTACATCCATAATAGACCCCCCAAAAAATGAAATACCTTGGCATCTTCCTAACCAGGGATTTTTTTTTTTTTTTGGTAAGGTAAAGTACATAAGAAAAAAATCAAGTTTAAAAGAAAATCCTACCTTGTTTCCAGTTAACTGATTGTTGTGGAGAAAATTCTTTTAAGGACATGAAAGATATTCTGGGTAATGTGGATGTTGATGTGTAGTTTGTTGGAAATAATTTTTTGAATAGGCGTCTCACTCTGTCACCCAGGCTGGAATGCAGTGACAAGCTTCTGCAGCCTCGACCTACTGGGCTCACCTGATCTGAGGCCTTAGAAGTAGCTGGAACTATAAGCAAGTGCCACCATAGCTGGCTAATTTTTAATTTATTGTAGAGACGAGGTCTCATTAAGTTGCCCAGGCTGGTCTCAAACCCATGGACTCAGGCAATCCTCTCACTTCGGCCTCCAAAAATGCTGGGTTTACAGGCTTGAGGCACTGCACCCGGCCATATCTTTAAATTTTTATTTATTTGTTTATTTAGAATCAGAGCCTCATTGTGTTGCCCTGGCAGGAGGGTAGTGGCATGCTCACGGCCACCCCAGCCTTAACCTGCAGGGCTCAGGTGATCCTTGCTCCTCAACCTTCCAAATAACTGAAACTACAGGCATGCACCACTGCGCCCGGCTAATTTTTTTTATTTTTTTGAGTCAGAGTCTCACTCTGACACCCAGGCTGTAGTGCAGTGACACACTAACCACCACCACAGCCTCGACCTGCTGGGCTCAGGTGATCCTTCTGCCTTAGCCTTCCATGTAGCTGGAACTACAGACACGCGTCACCGCACCCAGCTAATTTTTTAAAATTTATTATATAAATGAGGTGTCGCCAAGTGGTCCAGGCTGGTCTCAAACCCGTGGGCTCAGGCAATCCTTTCACCTCAGCCTCCCAAAGTGCTGGGATTATAATCGTGAGCCTCGCATCTGGCACACCAAAAAATATATATATATATATATATATATTTTTTTTTTTTTTT